TGCCCTTACACCAAGCACCAGACCTTGGAGTTGGAGAAGGAGTTCCTCTTCAACATGTACCTGACCCGGGAGCGCCGCCTAGAGATCAGCAGGAGCGTCAACCTGACCGACAGGCAGGTCAAGATTTGGTTCCAGAACCGCAGGATGAAACTCAAAAAACTGAACAGAGAGAACCGCATCAGAGAACTCACGTCAAACCTCACCTTTTCGTGATCTCGCGTGGTTTCCTGCCTCCTATTATTATTATTATTATTATTATTATTATTATTATTATTATTGCTTCTTGGAGAAAACATAAACAGCTGTTGGCTGATAAAAAATACAATTATACTGCACAACTATAAAGCAATTAAACAAAACAGAATTATGCATAAATGAAGAGTAAACGGGTCGGATTAGCATTTTTTTCATCTTTATTTTTCYAAGTCCATCTTTAGGAAATGATAGAAATCACGTCACAAAAACAGTTATTGTTACATTTCCTACTGAAATAACYAGCATCTCATTAAAAATTAAATAAATATAAAATAAAACAAATGAAGAGGAGCTGGGTACATGAGGGTCTGCTGTTGTCGCCAATGCGTCATGTAGACTGCAGCACTTTATTTATTTTAAAGGTCCAAACAAAGAAACTTTGATGTTGTTCGTGTTTTTGTTAGATCTCAAACATCTCACGGGATGTCTTTCGGTAAATAAGTGGATTTTAGGAGAAGATTAGTTGTTTTTAGTCCGATCTGAGGCGTTTTGTTTCATAGGAAAAGGTCGTGTTAAAGCCCCTCCTGCAAAACCAATTTCAAGTCCGTGTTGTAGGTGTCGCTGTTGACCACGCGTGCATCTGCAGTGCGAGCGCGTGCGGAGGCAGGAGGCTGCGTCTCAAGGCCATTTTCAAATCTCATTGGTGGGTTTGTCATGTGGTCTGGAGRCATCCCGACTTCCAGATTGTTTTTCCTAGATATGTCAGCTTGCAAAAGACATCTCTCTCCTCTCAAGAACTTCTCCCCCCCTCCTCCAAGGGAGAAAAAATGTCCTTCCCCAGCAGCTCACCTGCCAACCCGTTCTTAGTGGACTCTTTAATTGGCGCGTGCAGGACGGACAGTTTTTATTCCAGCAGCAACATGTACATGCCGTCAGGGTCGGAAATGGGGACCTACGGAACCTGTGGACTCCTGCCGTCTTTCGGCAAAAGCAGAGGGGAAATCAGCCACCAGAACCCGGCTGTGAACGTCCACCCGTACATACCTCAGCTGGAGAACTGGTCTGATCCGGGTCGAGCCTGCAGGACAGACAGTCCGATGACAAACTGCACATTTTCACAGAGCATAAAGGAGGAGAGCAACTGCTGCATGTACTCGGAGAAGAGGCTCCAAAAGGTCAGCTCGCCCGAGGTCCCCGCCTACCCCATCGCAGAGCCCTGCTCCGCGGACGGCCCCGAGATCCCGGTTCCGGGCTACTTCAGACTGAGCCAAACGTACGCGAACGGGAAGCACGCGGAAAGCTACAGCCAGGACGAGCCGCCGAGTCCGAACCCGACGCTCCTGCAGCTCAGCCGGGTCAAACMTCCTCCTCCTCYGCCTCCTCCTCCCCTTCCTCCCGCTTCAAGTTTCCCACCAGAGCCGGAGAACGACGTCCAGGAGCCCGAGCCCGCGCGCACACCGAGCCCGGATCAGACGCTCCAGCGCYCGGAGGAGAAGAGGAAGAGGAGCTGCTCCGTGGAGGCGCGCGCGTCCAGCCCGGAGCCGCTGCTGCAGAAGGAAGGGAAAGGTGGGCCGGCTGCAGGCAGGAGCTTTTATCTCAACAACAAGGGCTTCGGCATCATAAAAGCAAGAATAAAACACAAACAACCCTAAAGTCGTAATGTTTAATGAGAGTCTTTCTCAGGTTGCAGTAATGGCCAACTGAATGGCTTTACCATGCAGCCCACATCCCCACACTTTATTACATTTTCCACTTTATTATATTCATGCATTTTGGAGTTATTAAATGGACCCAGAATAGAGGCCACCTTATTTTATTTATTTGCTTTTGCAATTTATTTAAATCAATCATCATTATTGATTTAACATTTTAGATATCTAATTTAGAAAGCTTGATTTTTTAAATTGAATTAAAAAAATATGTTCGTTATTGTCTTGGTTTATTTATGGCGCCAACCTCTGCATTATATTTACTCAGGGTAAGCATGTACATTAGGTTTAATTTCCCTGAGGTGAAATTTCAAAAGGAGGTGAGATGATGTGCAGCAGCCCTCTAATGTAAAGCTGTTTTTATTTTTTTTAATTATTTAACTTATTTTTTTTAATCTTCCTCAGACTGTAAGAGTGACGCTTTACCAAACAACTGGCTGACAGCGAAGAGCGGCCGGAAGAAGCGGTGCCCTTACACCAAGCACCAGACCTTGGAGTTGGAGAAGGAGTTCCTCTTCAACATGTACCTGACCCGGGAGCGCCGCCTAGAGATCAGCAGGAGCGTCAACCTGACCGACAGGCAGGTCAAGATTTGGTTCCAGAACCGCAGGATGAAACTCAAAAAACTGAACAGAGAGAACCGCATCAGAGAACTCACGTCAAACCTCACCTTTTCGTGATCTCGCGTGGTTTCCTGCCTCCTATTATTATTATTATTATTATTATTATTATTATTATTATTATT